GGTCGCATGGCATGGCGCCTCGGCCGGCTGAGGCCCGAAGACTGGGCCGATGTCGCTCCGAGCTCGAGCCAGCCGTGGCTCCGCCTTCGGGCCTGGCGCTCCTGCCGATAGTCCGAGAGAGCTGATCGAGCGAGGAGACTGTTTCTGTCGTCCCCCAGGAGCTCGACAGCAGAACGAGAGCCCACGATGCCCGTCACAACGTCGGGTCCGCTGCCCCTCATGAGGGCCATCTTCGCGCCCATGCTCGAGTGAGGAGAGCACTTCTCACTTGAGCCGCCGTGGAAGAGACGCCGCCAACAGACGTGGCCCGCAGCGGCCGGGCGAGGCGCAACCGCCTATACCCCGAGGGCACCTCTGACGCCGCACACACCCCTTTGGCCGCCCGGGATGGGTGCGGAAAAAATGGGTACAATGCCCAACAACAAATGTTGTCCCCAACCAACAGCGGCCGCTGTTGGGCAGGCCGCCTTCTGCCTCAAATGGACAGAGGCCGCGGCGGCGCGGACAGCGTGTCCTGTTCAAGGTGAACAGGAACTGCTGTTGGGCATTGTACCCATTATTTCTGTACCCATTTCGGGCGTGCAGAGCCCCGAGAGCCCACTCGAACACCCCAAACAGCCAGGAACTCGTCTCGAGCCTTCCTCCTCGTGCGACGGCGACAGCGACGACGGAGAACTTACGAAGGACTCTTCTGCAGCCCGCCGCAACCCCCCAGAGGCGCGCCAGCACTCCGTGAGGCCCTCCCTCGGCCGCACGCAGAGAGCGACCCTGGGCAAGAGCGACCTTGGCGTGTGCGGCCTTCTTGGGCCGCGGGGGTGGGGGGGGGAGTGGACATCCAAGCGCGCGCGCCAGTGCTTTGGAGGAGGAGGAGGAGGAGGAGGAGGAGGAGGATTCTCCCGCTCGCGCGCTAGCGAGCTGTCTCCGAGCGCGGCCGCGGCTCGCGCGCGCGGGGCGGCCCAAAATGGGCAGGCCCGTCCCGCGCGCTCGTGCCGGGGCGCCGCGCGTCAGGCGGGGGAGACCGCCTGCTCGCCGACGACGGCGAGGCAGCGCCCATCAGCCTTAGATTGGGGGAGGAGGGAGGGGGGCAGAGAAGCTGCGGAGACAGCAGGAGCTTGCTCACAGAGAATAGAAGAGGCATTCTCCCGCTCGCGCGCTAGCGAGCTGTCTCCGAGCGCGGCCGCGGCTCGCGCGCGCGGGGCGGCCCAAAATGGGCAGGCCCGTCCCGCGCGCTCGTGCCGGGGCGCCGCGCGTCAGGCGGGGGAGACCGCCTGCTCGCCGACGACGGCGAGGCAGCCATACCCGTGCTCAAGGACCTTGCGAAGTGACAAGGTTTCGGCGGGCGGCCGCAAGTAGGGCAGGCCAAGCGGCGGGGCCGACTTGGAGAAAAAAAAAAATAAAAAAACAAAAAAAACAAAAAAAAAACGACAAGGAAAAAATAATGCGACACGCGGTCGCTGGCGGTGGCGAAGAACAGGATCCGCGCCCGTGCGGGCACGGGCAGCGCAGCAAGAACTGTGGAAGCGGCGGCGGCTTGCAGGTAGCGCTCAGCACTGGAAGCCTGACGCCAACGCCCCCGCCAGAAGACGCGAGGGACGTCTTCCGTAGCGATATAGAAGTCTGTTGCGCCAGAGCCCCGCAGACATGCGGGCGTCAGGTTGAGCCCCTGACCCGCTTTGGCAAGAGGGACGCCCAGGGCCGAAAGCAAATGATTCCACCGAGTACGGAAGCCGCTCGCACCGAAAGGGGCGAGAGGATCGGTGGAAGCCAACCGCCCAAACACTTGATTCAGAATCTTCACCGTGCCCCGATCGGAGCAGCGAGCATGCTGCGTCGGGTACGTTCTCCTGGTCTTTGGAACAAGAATCGAAAGAAAAGCATCCCCTTCAACTTCGAGGCGGTCGCAAGGAAGCGACAAGTCACAGCGGCGTGACGCCAGCAGCTCGCCAGGCCTGAGGAACATCGTAAAGCCCATGAGCAGCAAGGCCGCCATCACAGGCCAGTCCCAGGCGAAACAGAGACCGACCATAGCGCGCAGCAGAGCGCGAGGTAAGGGCGGGCGGAGCTTTGGCGGCTCCGCGAGCTTCCATTGTTTCGCTACGTCCCAAGCTTCTGTTAGAAAGGCCTTCCAATGCGGATGAGCGCTCTGGATTCCCAAGATGGCATGAACCAGAATATAATGAGGGAAACCTGCATCATGAAGCCACACGCCGAAGGTCGCGAGGAAGCGGGCGAGAAGTATCCCGCTACGGTAAAGAGTGGCGGGCGGCACGCCAGTGTGTTCTGCTAACCACAGTTCGAACGCATCAATCGATCTCGAGCGACGATCGAGATACGCGGAGGTGAGGTGAGAATCGCGCACGAAGGGAGTGCGCGGAGGGCGAGCGGGCGCGGAAGGCGCAGCCCGACTAAGCCCTTGGCCTGCGGTCGGCGCCGCGGCTCCCAGAGAGATGCAGAGGCCGCAGACGCACCACAGGATGAGCGCAGGGCGGCCAGGGCTGGGAGAGCTGATCAGCGTGGCGGCCCTCCTGCTCCTGGACGCGTAGAAGGGCGGAACGAGGGTGTCCCGCCCGTCGGTCTCGAACCCCGACGCCTCCGCCAGCATCGCCCGCGCCGAGGTGAAGGATCCGCCCATGTTACGGTGAGCACGGCGAGCCCCTGCTTCGATCTCGGCGGGCAGAGCGTCCCCCCCTCGAGGGTCGCCCAGTCAAAGGGCGGGCGCGGCTCGGCGCGCGCAGCTGCGGCCGATTCGGCGAGCTCGGAACGAGCTGCCGAGGACGTGAGGCCCGAATGATGTGGAACGGGCACCACCTCCGCGAACGCGTCGAGGATCTCGGACGGAGGGGAATGAGATCCCCACAGCGCTGCTGGGATGGCGCCGTGACCGTCCTGCACGTGGTACAGAAGGTCGAAAAGGCAGGCCAACTTGCCCGCGCGCCTCCTGTGCTCGATCTTTGAGCCGAGCCCGATGCCACGGATGGCGCCCGCCCCCATGGCTTGGAGGTCAGCGCCCGCGGGGATAGCCTCGGGCTCGACGGCGGCCACGTAAGGATGCAACCACGAGGCTTCGTCGATCGGCTCGGCGCCGCCTGTCTGAAACAGGCGCTTATAGGCGTGCAAGGCCTGCAGGAGGCAGTGCAGGTCATCTCTGCCTTCGGGCTCGGCGGCCCCTGCGGGTGCGAAAGACCTCAGCCACGACGCCGCGCTCTGGAAGGCAGCTTGCCAGGCGGGTCCCCACCTCACCACTGTGACCTTCTCACCGCCGAGGTTGAGACGCCACGCTAGGGCGGTGGCGGCCCCTGGAGGCAAGGGCTGCTCAACGGCCGCGGAGGCCGTGCGCCGCGCTGCGAAGGCTGCAGCCGCGGCGCTCCCAGCGTCGCCGCTGTGGGAGCCGCTGGGATGCAGCTCGTGCCCTGAATCTCGGCCAGGCGCGGGGCCGCTCGAAGACCCCCTTTCCTCGGCGGCACGCCCTCCGCCCTGCGGGGCCGCAACAGCATCGCTGGAGGAGCGCGTGCCTACCGAAGACTGAGGGGCCTGAGCAGCGGAGTCCGCGCGGGAGCTGCCTGCGTGGGCGTCGCCCGAGCTCGCACCATGGCGGGACGTGGCTGGCCGCTGCGCAGTAGCGGGGCTCGGGCGCCGCTTCGGAGCGACTCGAGGGGAGCGCACCTCGCGACGCCGAGGCGACGTCGCCTGACGCGAAGGCGCGCGAGAGGAGCCGCGCGCGACGGCCCGACTAAGCCCCTGGCCTGCGGTCGACGCGCGGGATCGCGACGCCGCACGCCCACCAGAGTGGTGAGGGGGCGGCGGCGGCGGCGGGGGCACGGGCCGCGGAGTCTCGGAGCCTACACGCGTGCCGCGGCCCCGAGAGCGACAGCGAACCGAGGCGCGAGCGGCGGGCGGAGAGGCCCCCGAGCGGCGAGGGAAGGCCGCCTGCAGGCGGCGGAGGACCTCGGGGTTCAGGCCCGCCACGACGCGCTCGAGGTCCATCGAGGAGTCTGCGAGGGCACTCAGCACGACGTCCTCGAGCTCCGTCGGAGAGTCCTCGTCGCACGCGGGCTCCGCTCTCGAGCGGCTGCGAACGCTCGCGGGCGGGGACCCGTCAGGAGTGTGCGGGCCCTCCGATGCCTCCCCCGCAGGCGGCTCCGACGGCTCCTCGGGCGAGATCGGGCCGTCGACGGGAGGCGACGAGCAGCCCCCCGAGGGAGAGGTGCGGTCGGTCCCGTACGGGTTTGGAGACCGCGTACGG